TGCTGTCCAGAGCCGAGCCAATAAACGATGTTGTTTTGTGCCTCTGTGAGAGCATATTTAAGACAGGGCATAAAAAACGCTGTGCCAAACAGCAGCTGGGAGAGAGAGAGGAGTGAGGAACAGCCTGGCAGGTGCCAAGGTCAGTGAAGAAGGAGGGGGAGAGGTGCTCCAGGTGCCAGAGCAGAAGTCCCCTGCGGCCTGTGGTGACGACCATGGTGAAGCAGGATGTCCCCCTGCAGCCCATGGAGTACCACGGTGGAGCAGGGTTCCACGCTGCAGCCCGTGGAGGAGACCACGGTGGAGCAGGTGGACCTGCACCGACGGAGGGTGACACCTATGGAAGACCCCTGCCGGAGCAGATTCCGGGCCAGACCTGTAGCCCGTGGAGAGGAGACCACGCAGGAGCAGGTGACCTGGCAGGAGCTGCTGCCCGTGGGGGACCCAGGTTGGAGCAGTTTGCTCCTGAGGGATGGACCCTGTGGTACGGACCCATATCTGGAGCAGCTCTGGAAGAGCTGCTGCCTGTGGGAAGCCCACGCCGGATCAGTTCATCAAGGACTATATCCCGTGGGTGGGACCCCACAGCACAGGGAATGAGAGTGATTGAGAAGGAGCGGCAGAGAAGAAGCGTTGTAGACTGACCATAACCCCCATTCCCCTGTTCCCCTGCGCCACTCGGGGGGAGGAGGTGTAAGAGGGTGAATGGGGGGGAAGGTGCTTTTGGTTTCTTTCCTTTGTTTCTCACTTCTCTAGCTTGTTAGTAATAAGCAATAAAACATACTATCTCCTTCTGTCAAGTCTGTTTTGCCCGTTACAATAATTACTGCGTGATCTTCTTGACCTTATCTAAACCTTTAAGCCCTTTTCATCATATTTTCTCCCTGTTCCTCTTTGAGGAGGGGAAGTGAGAGAGCGGCTGTGGTGGAGCTCGGCTTCCCACTGGAGCGGAACCACGACAACCTTACAGCTTATTCTCCTTATTAATAATCAGACAGTTTATGATCCTGAAATATGGGACCAGACTGGGGTCAAGGTGTGGGACTCTGCAACTAAAAACGACAAGGTTGCAGTGGGATTGCTCGGCACCTGGCGAGCAATCTCTGAGGCCATGTGGGACCACAGTCACAAACGTGTGGTTTGCCAGACAGTGAGGGAGCTGCGGGCTCCTTTACTGATCCGACTGCTATGCCATGGGCCCCTCTGCTGCTACAGCCATCGAAGGCTTTTGCTGTTACACCCCCTGCTGACCTGGACATGCCTTTTGACCTAGGCCCTATTGGCCTTGAAAAGGAGATGGATATGCTTTTCTTCGATCTGGGAAGAATGGGATACATAAGGCCCGAAGACTGAGTTGCTTGAGAACTTAAAGGGAGACATATTGTTCAAAAGGAATGGAAAATGGAGACCGTTGTTTGTAATCAGGAAAATGGAGACTGTTAAGTCATGGAACTTAGAGGATTGTTTGTTACCTTTTCTGATTGTGTAACTTAAAGGATTGTTACCTTTCCTGATTGTACGTATGTATAGGCATACTCAGGTTTAGTATGTAAAGCAAAGTTCTATGTATTTAGAATGTTTGATGTCTGTGTGTGTGTGTTGGTGGAGCGTAGACTCCCCACACACCCAGTGCTGTTTACTTGCCTTTTATACCTTTTATAAGTATAAATATTACTAAATTCATATTGAGTTGAGACTTCATTTATAACAGCATGCACAAACACATTGGGGTACAAAGGCGTTAAGTGATCATTTTTCTAAAACAATTTGGTTGCATTGGGGTTTTTGAAGTAGCAAAGCAAATTAGACAATGTTGCTTAACTTACGAGAAGATAAATAAGAAAGTGTTTTGACAAGCAGCCATGGGAGGGAGAAAAAACAGCTTATAGGCCTTTTGAGAAAGTGCAATTTGATTTAACTGAATTGCCTGTGGTAGGGAGGATAAAATATCTATTGGTAATAGTAGATCATTTAACACAATGGGTAGAAGCTTATCCCGTAGCACGGCACAAATGGTGATAAAAATTCTATTAGAACAGCTGATAACCTAGATATGGGATAATCCAGTACATTGATTCTGATCAGGGCACATACCTTACTTCTAAAATAATAAAATTATTATGTCAATCATTAGGTATTCAGTGGGAATACCATACTCCGTGGCACCCACAAAGCTCAGGGAAAGTAGAAAGACTGAATCAAACAATAAAACAACAATTGGCTAAATTAATGATCGAGACACAAATGTCCCAGACGAAATGCTTACCATTGGCACTTTTAAACATAAAAACTAAACCACACAGTGAGACTGGATTATTGCCATATGAAATGTTATATGGTATGCCTTATTCTCAAGGGATGACTCTAGGGAATAATGTAGCTGAGGATTGTAGCATCCAGAAATATATAATTACTATTGGAAGGAGATTACAAGAGCTAAGAGAAATTAGAATGATGGCTCAAACACCACCTTTAGGATTTGCTATTCATAACATACAACCAGGAGACAAGGTCTTAATAAAAACCTGGAGGAAAGAATCATTGAACCCCCGATGGGAGGGACCGTGCATTGTTTTACTTACTGCTGAAACAGCTGTGAGAACAGCAGAAAGGGGTTGGACCCATGCATCCAGAATAAAAGGACCAGTAACTACCGAAACTTGGAGGGTTGAGTCCACTCCTGGGGAACTGAAACTAAAGCTAAAGAAGAACTAATATTCTGGCAACGAGGCTCTGCATGAATTAAGGATGCCAAATAAAGGGGACAAGCCTGAAGGGAGGAAAGGGAGAAGGCAAGACTGGCGCAGGACCCTCCACTGCGGTGTGTATGGTCTACCGAGGGAGGCAACCCCTATGGGTATTGACTGCTGAGTGAGAGGGCCTTGACTGGACTTCTCCCACATTCAGGTCAGGTTGTCCCGAGAAAATAACATAAGAAACTTTTTTTTTTTTTTTAAAAACCCATATAAAATTGTGATTTGTTTTCCAGGAGCTGGATCACCCTGACAGGCTGAACAGTAACACAAGCCTGAATCGACCCTGAAAGTGGGCCCAACCCCTTGATTGAAGGCGTTTGCCTATTATGATCCAGCTATGTGGGCAGAAGACGGATCCTGGGGCTATAGGACCCTGAGATATATATGCTTAATAGAATAATTAGGTTACAAGCTGTAATAGAAATAGTTGTAAATAAAACCGGAGATGCACTTGGATTAATTGCAAAGCAAAATACTAAGATGAGGACTGCTTTATATCAAAATTGCTTAGCTTTGGATTATTTACTAGCACAAGAAGAAGTCTGTGGAAATTTTAACTTTAGTAATTGCTGTTTAGAGATTGATAATGAGTGTGTTTCTTCCTAGTAGCTGGTAGAATGCTATGTTTTGGCTTAGGATGAGAAGAGTGCTGGTAACATGCTGATGTTTTAATAGTTGCAGAGCAGTGTTTACACCAAACCATGGACGTTTCAGCTTCTCACTCTGTCCTGCCAGCGGGCAGGCTGGGGGTGCAAGAGCTGGGAGGAGGGCCGGACTGCTCAGGGTTAGGCTGGGCATCGGTCAGCGGGTGGTGAGCAATTGCATTGTGCACATTATTAGTAGTAGTACTATTATCATCATTACTGTCATTATTATTATTGGTATTATTATTTTATTGTCTTTATCTCAACTCATAGGCTTCACTTTCCTGTTTCTGTCTCCCATCCCAGAGGGGGAGGGAGGGAGGTGGGCGAGCAGCTGTGTGGTGTTTAGCTGCCAGCTGGGTTAAACCACAACAGAAAGAAAAGCTGTAAATGAACTCGTAAAAAGAAATGAAGAAAATTGCACATGTCCCAGTTCAAATTTGGAATGGAATCAATCTAAGAGGATTATGGGAGGGGGCTTTATGGGCGGTGATTGGTTTGCTAAAATAATGGTGGTTGTACTGGGGATATGTAAAGGATTGTTAATAATTCCATGTTTAATACCTTGTATTACCAGACTAATACACTCAGTTATACAAGGAATGCAAATATCTGTGGTACCTGTTGACCCAGAACCAGGGAAAGTGAAAACCCATTCCCTGATGATAATAAAAACAAAGATCCAAAATTGGTATCAATTGGTATCAATTTGTTAAGTATTGACTTGATTAGAAAGGAAAACGCGAATCAATGGCATGAAAAAGGAGATGGGTGATTGTGAAATATGTTCATGTGATTCGTGTCAGTATGGAACTAGGGCTGCATGGTATGATGAATGTGACCTTCTGTCTTACATACCCTTGTATAAGCACAAGTCTAAGAAAAACAGAGTGGTTAATGTATATAGTTCTTGTATCTTGCAAAGGAATGTTTTAGCAATTCATGTCAACAGAGAGCTTGAAGGGAAATGTATTTGTAGGCTTTTCCTTGAAGTCTCTGATATCTGGGGGGGGGTGTGGGGGGGTGTCAGAGTAACTGCTATTACGACTATTGCATGGGACACTATGCAAGTCTCTGATATCTGGCCAGATTAAGAAGGGGAAAGCTGAGGGACAACTAAAAGACAAAGCTTGCAGGGGATGCTGCACAAGTCTCTGACATATAGCTAAGTAGGACAAAGGAGAAGGACAAGAGGGAGGAAGACTATGAGCCTTCAGCACGAGACCCCCAGAGGGACCACCGGAGACTGACAGACATGATCCAGTAGGAGGGTTTGGATTCCGGAAACTGATTATAATAACCCTGTTTGTTTTTAGAAGTAGTAATGAATATGTATTAGCCTAGGAGCATAAAAATCAGCTGCTTGATTTAACTGGTGTGTGTCTTGGTGGAGCAGAGACTCCCGGTGCATCCAGTGCTGTTTGCTTACCTCTATTCATTTAATAAATTGTAAACATTGATTGTAACCCTATTTGGGACTTAGCCATTTATTACAGGCTATAACAAAAGCACATACAACCCAGCACCCGTACACTAACACCCGTGAAGCCAGGCAGCACACACTGGCATCCCCAACGTCTTATCTCCCATGGCAGGCAGGTGTTTCAAAACGGGGAAGGGAGGCCACACGAGATGACATCGTGGTACGACTGCACCGTCTGCAGCTGACAGGAGGGCAACAGGGGGACAGGCTGGAAGCTCCGGGAGGACGAGGAGAGCCGTGAGGAGGGCGGCTCCGGGGGCTGCAGGTACCTGCGACGGAGGGAACGGAAACAGAGGCACAGCACCACGCGGGCGCGTGAGAAGATGGCGGCGGTGAGGCGCTTCCCCGGGGGGCTGCCTGTGGAGGGCGGGCCGCTGCCGGAGAGGTGTGACCGCTGGGCGTGCCCGTAACGCGGCACCACCTCCCCTCTGCCGTCATCCTGGCCCTTCCACTGATCCTGGCAGCCGCGAGAGGGACCCCGGCCCCGAGAGAGCTGAGACCGACCCGGCGCCATGCCAGCCGCCGCGCCGCCCCCGCTGCACCCCGCGGCGGGCTCGTGCTGCCCCTACGGCCGCTGCGCGGGTGAGTGGGCTCTCCGTCGCCCCCGGACGGTGGTGTGTTAGGACGGGAGTGTCTTGGGGGTCCTGGTGGTCGTCCGGGGGGTGCAGGTGAAGGGGGAGGCTGAAGGAAGGCTGAGGTGCTCGGGTGGGCGTTGTTACAGGCGGCAGCCAAGCCACGTCGGGGTACAACGCCGGCTGTGTCCCTGGCTTCTGCACTTGGTCAAGTAGGTTTAACAGCAGAACAGGTATTTATAGGAAAAGTGCTTCATAACTTTGTGCTCTGCAGTATTATTTCCTGCCTTCCTTCGGGGACATTCAGTAGGTGATGGCAGTAAGGCTGGGTGGGCTGCTGATTGGAGCTAAAGGAACAATTTACAGGTTGCAAGACACCGAGCTGGGAAACAACCCCATAAACTAAAACTTTTGCTGCTCTGTGTACTGAAAAGTTTAGTTAAAAGGAAAAAATAAGACCTCACACTAGTGTAACAAAACTCTGGCTCCTTCCTCTGAGCATTTTTACTGTAACGTTTTTGTGTGAGAGGATAATCGGAGTTTATTACCAAATCTCTTAGTTCATCTTGCATGCTTTTGCTACGAGCTTTATACAGACATAAAAATAAGCGCATGTCTGCATGTGAGTTTTTCTTCCCACCTCCTCCTCGACTTTTTCTTCAGCCTCCCCTTTCTTCTCTTGGCATGTTTTTTATCCAGTTTAGGTGTGGTTTTGACTTTGAAATGTTGAGAACCAGCAAAGAGTCACAAGACAGTCAGCAAACCTAACAGTGCTTATAAAACATATTACAGCTACTGTGTAGAATTTTGTTTCTGTGTGGAATTGTGTTATTATGACAACTCTGTCATGGTCTTCTCAAGAGGTGGCTGTGTTTTCTAGCTAAGGAAGCTGTCCTGTGGCTCTTTGGATAGAACTGATGCTGCAGAGTTTCTTTCTTGAGGTGTAACAGGTGTGAATCTCCTGAAATGGCATGGCTCTATGAAAGCTTGTTGTAGGATGCTAGGACATCTCATCTGAGAGTTAGCTTCTGGTAAATCTCCATCTCCAATCTCCATTAACCTGAATTGGTTACTTGATCTTAAACTGTCAGCAAAGATAACTTAGTTTTAATTCAAGTTATTGGCAGCTGTTCAAGACTCTGAATTTGAGCTGTGCAGAAGTTATCTCTTCTCTGTTGTATTGTTGTTGTTGTTTTTTTTTTTTCTTTTTTTTTTCTGTAAACTCAAGTTAATTACCTTGGGCATGTTAAGCTGTGTTTTAAATGTATTTAGTAGCATCACTATATACTTTGTATATGTCTGCACTGCTGCTTTTTCTAGTAGTATTCTGCAGAGCCTCACGTTTTTGGCATCTGTGGGGCTCTCAGCTTGTGGTGTCTATGGGAAGTTGTGTGGGATTTATTTCCCATTTCTAAGATCGCTTAGCTTAGTTTCTGTTTCTACAGAAACATGTATAGTTCTGTAGAAATCAGAGAGGCTGATTGTCCTTCCTTCTTTTCCAACAGCTCTAGGGCTGATTGAGTCGGTGTATGTTGCTGATTTTGCCCTTTTGCTTTGACTTGATTCCTAAATGCTTAAAAGCTTTTGAAGTCAGTGTTGTATAGATTTATTTGTACGTGCAATTAGCGTCAGAACATTACGGTGACTCCAGCAGTCTCACTTAGCTCTGATGCCGCTCTCACTGAAGGTAATGTGAATCTTTTAATTAGCTTCAGTGTAACTTGGATTAGAGCTGAAAACGTAGTAGTTGAAAGAGGTGAATATGACGTTTCTGTTAACTTTGCTTCTTAAAGGTATACTGTTTTCCAGGTTTTTCTTGGTTTTAGGGTATGTGGTCTGTCCTTTTGGAAAGAATCCATTCAATAACTGGAAATAGTGAAAAATGGACAGTAGAGCTACTGCCTTGATTGATTCTCAAGCAGATTTGAGGTTTTAGTAATGTTTGCAATTTGTTCATCTTGCATCACAGTAATTTGCATTCACTGCAAGTGAAAGACTAATTCACCAACTTTCTTCTGTTACTAGTGTAGTTTACTCAGTCTAGTTATTGTAAGAATGCAAAACAATTGCCTATGTCATGCATTCTTAGAGGAAGCTCCCAGTCATCGTTCTGAAAACACTACCTCCTGCTCAATCAGTATTGCTAGCCTGTATGTATACTTTTTTTTTTTTTTCAGTTTTCTTGTCACCTCAAATAAGGTACTTAATAGAAATACTGGATATTGTCTGGCGGTGTGAAAATCCTCATTTTTGTGCTTGTCATCATACTTTTAAGTATAATTAACACTGGCTTAGAGTTTTGTCTGAGAAACCCATTTTCTTTTAGAAGCGTTGTGAAACAATTTGTTTTGCAGTGTTAACTTCAGTGTATGGCTCTCTTCTGAAAATGTGTTTCTGTAGTAATGGGGTAGAAATTCTACATTTATATGGGAATTAATCTCTCTTAAATGTGCTAGATTTCCAAGCAAAATGTTGTGGTAATGGCCCCTTTTGCAAACCAGATAGAGAATCAGGCTCTGGCTGGGTCTTTCCTTTAGTTATGCAATGAGATTATTGGTAATACAGAATCTGGAAGCCTAATTAAACCCTCAGTGACACCTCTGCAAGCTCTCTTATTTTTACTGGATTTGCTCAGTTGCAACTGAGTAGTCATCAAGTTGAGATTTAGGAAGCAATGGAAGTAAAATCCCACACCTAAGAAACAGATTGCTGCTCCTTTGGCTGAGACAATGCTGGCTAACAGGATTAAGAAGAAATGAAAGCTTGCTTTTGATGAAACATGAATAATTAATTTAAAATACATGGCAGTTTAGGGGGTCAAGAGCATCAACATGAAAGCAAAACTGCCTGTACTTTGAGAAATACACAGAGGGCTTTGCCAGATGGATCCTGGCAAATCTTGCAGTCGTGTAAGGTGTTTTTGTTTCTCTCTGTCAGTTCTGTCCTCCCCTGGAATATTCCTTATGGAAGGCCCTGGACTGCAGAGCTCACGTGCCTGGTTACTGGGGCAGACCCTAAACTTGTCAAACTTAAGAAAGCAGGCATGGCTGATCCTAATAAAATACACAGCCTGTCATCTTTGAAAGAAATGAACAGTTTCATAAAGTTCTTTTTTTGGTTTTGTGCAGGGTTTTAAGTTAAACTGAGCCTCAACCTCTAAATGCACCGATTTATTTCACATGTAGTGCACTAAGTCTTTACAGATTATGCATCTGTATTCTTCTTTAAAGGGCTTTCTTTATGATCACTTCTTAATTTGCTACCCTTAAAATGTCAGAAAGGAAAAGTAATGAAAGTGGGGGTTTTGCTCTTAAAAAAAAAAAAAAAAAGAAAGAAAAACAACATAAAAATGACGGCACTTGTGACTCATTACCAGGCTACATGCAATCTTTACCTTCATCTGCTCCTCTGGGGGTGACTCAGCTCAGTTTAACACTAACACATGGCAATAGCCATCTGTGTTTGCTGTAAATATTTTATTTTTTTTGTTAACAAATGGCTTGATTTAGATCTTAAACTGTATGTTGGAGTTGCTGTGGGCCTGCAGGGGGAGCAGGTGAGTGTCTAGAAAGGTAACTTTTGCCCATCGACCGTGACCGATGAGGAAAGGAAATGTAAAACCATCGGAGCAAACTAGGTTGCCCTGCAGGAGTCTCGGTCTCTGGGTTGGGAGGAGCAGGATGGGAGGGGACCAGGGTAGACTGCAAAGAGGCTCAGAGCATTTAGGGAAAGAGCAGGGAAGATTAGAGAAAGAGGAAAGCAAAACTGAGTTCATCTTCTTTGAGGTGAAAGAAGGAAGGCTGGCTGTTAAATGTCATTTATCCCTCACGATTCTCAAATACAGTAAATATGGTCACATGTTCCTGCATGCTGAGCCTCCTACATGTGTTTCATTGCAGGTTGGCACCCACACTGGGCTGTTGGTGACACAGAGGCAGCATCTGTCCTCAGAGTGGAAAAATCCAGAGATCATAGTGAAGGATCCAGTGTGAGCATCCCACAGGCTTCCTCCCTTGGCTAGAGTCCAGCCAGCTGCAGGGTTTTTCATCCAGGCACTCCCTCCAGACAGACCTTCCCATCTGAGGAGCTCTCTTGCTATGTTTGCTTGCTTTTTAGCTTCTCTGGTACTCTTTGTCCTCTGTGATCTACCATAAAGTCAGGGGTCTGTGTCCCAAAACTGGCAGTGAAGTGACAATGAAAGAACTGGGCAGGGAGAAGGGACTAGAGTAAATGTGTGAAATGGGCATTTATGGGACTGAAAGGTTTGGAGGTCTCTAGATTCTGGTTTGCATGATAGAGTATTTTATTCTTAAAATCAAAAGCTTATTTTTCTTATGTGCTGTCTGTGTATATGTAGAAGATTGGCTGTATGTGAGGTGCAAATGTTTTATTGCCTTCTTGGGGCTTATGAGACCAGGGAGTAGGTACAAAGGTGTGTGTGTCTCAAACTTTTGTACTCCAGGATTAGTACTGAGGATGTTTTCTTTCCTCACAGCTGACACTTTAGCAGTCACTTAATGGGACCAGACATAATTTGCCCAGGAGAAGCTTTAGTTCTGTTGGTGATGTGTGGGAAAGGAGGAGTCCGATTTGACATGCAGCTGAATTTGCAGGGCTGACAGTTACAGGAAAAATAATACTGCATGTGAACTTAAGCAAGCTTGATGTGAAATTATGAAATACGATGAAGTTGAAGTCCCATCATATTAATTTTGTAGGACCTTTTAGGGCTAAATATGTATATTTGAAACAGATATTATTGTGCTTTGTCCTTTTTGTAGAAAAGCCCAAATTAGTTTTACTTCAGTGAAATTAGAATACTGTCTGAGCTGCCGGGGACTTTAGTTTTCTGCAAATTAGGTTAGACTGGGTCAGCAATTGATCTGTTACATTAGTGCAAACTGAACGTGAATGTACTGACATGAGTATGACTGGAGATGACCATTAGGGTAGCAGAAGTAATGTTACAGAAATTAAACTAATTCCCTTTTTTTGATTGAGACAGTATTAAAACTGTTCTTGAAAGAGTCCAGCTGATAAGTGGTGTTTGTAAGATTGAATGTATTTTTAACTTCCGTACTAATACAGACAGAAGTTCATGGAAATACCATGATTTGTTGATTTCTGATATCATCTGATTAAAAAACAAAACAAAACACATTGGTTATCTGAATGCGCTTAGATTATGCTTGCTTTATTTAGTTTTGTAAACCATGTTTATGATACAGTATGATTTACAGTAATACTTCATTGCACAGCGTGTTTTACAACAGTTTTACCATCAAATATATTTTGAACATATATCATTGCCCAATGCACTTCTACCAGGCTGATACATTATTCTGGTTACAAAGTCAAGCCTTTATGACTGTTGTTGAGCAGTGTTGCCCACCTTCCACCCCCCCCCCCCCGTTCCTGTGCATCATGATATAAACAACAATTATCAGATGCTCCTTTTTTCCCCCCAGGGTCTTTGGCTCCATCAGCGCATGGGATGGACAAAGCTTGCCTAATGAGCATCTACATGCTGTCTATCCTGGCTGTTCCTGCCTTTCACTGTGTGCTTTTTGGACCCTGCTTGTTAGTACTTGTGAGCTCTTCTGTCATGATTATTGTTGCAGTAGCAAACATGGACTAGTGTTTTTGTGAAACCTCTAAACAGGGGGCATTAACTGTGTTTTGTTCAGCTGGAGTCAAGACACAAAATACTCAATTCTTTAATGTAGGCAAGAATGCTGTTTGAGGTGCGCAGGACCAAGACGTTTAGATGGCTTAGTGTTATGCATGTGTTGTGTTATGTATTGCTTTGTTTTTGAAGTACAGCTTCCAGCAAATTTTCTTGCAAGTGAGAGCACTGAGGACTTTTGCAGACTGGGTCTCAGTGTATTGTTTTGGGCACCAGAATGTAATCCTCTCTGAAAAATTTAGATCAATTTGATTGCTCTGAAACTTTTATTTTATGGAATTGCTTGAGATACAATCCAGTTCTCCAGAGCTGTATTTCTGTAGGCAAAGAAACTATTCTTCCTGTATTCTTTCACTATACTCTAATTACAGATGTAAAGTTTCTGTAGACAACACTTTATGACCATACAGTCCTGATTCCGGTTCATCTGTAAAAGAGTAAAGCATAAAGTGACAACATAAGGAGGTGGATATCCTTTATGAAAAATCACAGAGGAGGGACGTGAGGACAGTTCTCCTACAGCTCCCAGTCTTGTCCCTTTGCCAAAGTTCAGTATCCAACCTGACTTCCCAGCCTGCTCATATTCTCACCCTCAGGTTTTACTGCTTCCCAATTACATTCTCCATCTGCTTCCTCTGGGTCATCAAAGTTTATAGAAATTGCAGTCAGCGGGTATGTAACTGTGGCCCTATTTGCCATGTTCCCTGCAGCCTTTCCCCATCCCTACTTGTGACTTCTTGGTCCTCTTTTATCTTCCCAGTCCAGATATACACCAGGTTTCCTTTTCTAGCTTCAGACTCTGGCCCTGCTACATCCAGGCTGGCTTCTGGACGGTGATACCAGAGGAGCAGTGTCCCCTCCAGTTCCCTCTCTTGTTCCCAGCTTTCTTGTTCTCTTCCTGCAAGCTTCAGCTCTTACTGCATTTTGTCTTTTGTCTGCATTTCCTCAATCAGATACCACTTTTAATCCCTTTGTCAGGGCTCCTCATCCCATGTCTTATAATTCCTAATCTTGTCTCTTTGCTGGGAGTAATTCATCTTCCACAGCACGTGGGAGTCCTGAGTGACTCCCCTTCTCCTTTAGTCCTGTGTATCTGTCTCTGTACATGTCTGTCTATAGACCTAGTCTCCTTTGGTAGCTAAATCCCTGTACTCCATGCCTTCTTCCAGGCTCCTACATTACGAGCCATTTCCAGTCTTCTCTGCTTCCCTTACTGACTGTCTCCTTCTGAGATGTTTCAGCCACATTTACTCAGTCCCAGGCTTTTGACCAACTGTTCATCTCCCACTCTTTTCTTATTAACAAAACAGTCTCAGCCTGATAGCTGGTGGGATATTTGAAAGCAGCCAGACACTGAACTTCCATTGAACTGGCTTGCAGATTATCTGAAAATGTGGTGTTTGGAGGTATTTCTTTCCTCCTTCCTCTGCTGCTGTCCACTGTTGTTTGAGTTATAGAATCACAGAATCATCTAGGTTGGAAGAGACCTCCAAGATCACCTAGTCCAACCTCTGACCTAACACTAACAAGTCCTCCACTAAACCATATCACTAAGCTCTACATCTAAACATCTTTTAAAGACCTCCAGGGATGGTGACTCAACCACTTCCCTGGACAGCCTGTTCCAATGCCTAACAACCCTTTTGGTAAAGAAGTTCTTCCTAATATCCAACCTAAAACACCCCTGGCACAACTTTAGCCTGTTCCCCCTTGTCCTGTCACCAGGCATGTGGAGAATAGACCAACCCCCACCTCGCTACAGCCTCCTTTAAGGTATCCATAGAGTGCAATAAGGTCACCCCTGAGACTCCTCTTCTCCAGGCTGAACAAGCCCAGCTCCCTCAGCCACACCTCATAAGGCTTGTTCTCCAGACCCCTCATCAGCTTTATTGCCCTTCTCTGGACTCGCTTCAGGACCTCGATGTCCTTCTTTTAGCGAGGGGCCCAAAACTGAACACAGTACTTGAGGTGCGGCCTCATCAGAGCTGAGTACAGGGGGACAATCACTTCCCTGGCCCTGCTGGCCACACTGTTTCTTATGCAAGCCAGGATGCTGTTGGCCTTCATAGCCACCTGAGCACACTGCAATGGCTGGCACCCCACAAACAGGAGCATGCCTACTAGTTCCAAAACACAGTTTACATACCTTTTGATGACGGGACCCTCTCCTGTTTCTCCACTGAGTGGGTAATCCAGGTTCACAATGTATCTGATGTTTCACATACAATACCTTCAGTTGCTAGCCTGTTAAATTTCAAATTTCTTTTGACGTTTTCACTGTTTGAAGTGGTAATATTTCTTCACTGATCTGACTTGACCTGACAGTGTGACGTTCACCTAATTGTTCTAAGGAGTCTGTTTGTCTTCATTTTACAAGGTCGCCTCCTAAGATTTCTTACAAGCATATCTAAATACCACATTCTTTACCTTTAAACAGTGTAACTGCAAAAACAACATTCTTATTCCCACAGTATTCAGCTGACTATCAACCAACACTCCCAGGTCCTTCTCTGCCAGGCAGCTTTCTAACCACTCATCTCCCAGCCTGTAGCTCTGCTTGGGGTTGTTGTGCCCCAGGTGCAGGACCCGGCACTTGGCCTTGTTGAACTTCATTCAGTTGGCCTCAGCCCATCGGTGCAGCCTATCCAGATCATCCTGCAGAGCCTTCCTACCCTCGAGCAGATCGACACACGCACCTAACTTGGTGTCATCTGCAAACTTACTGAGGGTGCACTTGATCCCCTCATCCAGATCATCAATAAAGATATTAAAGAGAACTGGCCCTAGTACTGAGCCCTGGGGGATGCCACTAGTGACCGGCCTCCAACTGGACTTGACTCCATTTACCATGACTCTTTGGGCCCGGCTATCCAGCCAGTTTCTAACCCAACGAAGCGTGCGCTAGTCCAAGTCAAGAGCAGCCAGTTTCTTGAGGAGAATGCTGTGGGAGACGGTGTCAAATGCCTTGCTGAAGTCAAGGTAGACCACATCCACAGCCTTTCCCTCGTCCACCCAGCGCGTCACTTTGTCGTAGAAGGAGATCAGGTTCGTCAAGCAGGACCTGCCTTTCATAAACCCATGCTGACTGGGCCTGATCACCTGGTTGCTCTACAAGTGCCGTGTGATGGCGCTCAAAAAAATCTGCTCCACGAGCTTCCCTGGCACTGAGTTCAAACTTAACAGGCCTATAGTTTCCAGGGTCTACCCTCCGGCCCTTCTTGTAGATAGGTGTCATGTTTGCTAGTCGCCAGTCGACTGGGACCTTCCCTGGTAGCCAGGACTGCCGATACATGATGGGAAGTGTCTTGGCCAGTTCTTCTGCCAGTTCTCTCAGCACCCTTGGGTAGATCCCATCTGGCTCCATTGACTTGTGTACATCCAAGTACTGCAACAGGTCACCAACCATTTCTTCGTGGATAGTGAGGGCCACATCCTGCTCCCCATCCCCTTCCACCAGCTCAGGGTACTGGGTATCCAGAGAACAACTGGTCTTGCTGCTAACGACTGAGGCAAAGAAGGCATTAAGCACCTCAGCCTTTTCCTCATCTCTCGTCACTAAGTTTCCTCCCGCATCCAGTAAAGGATGGAGATTCTCCTTTCTCCTCCTTTTTGTCTTAATGTATTTATAAAAACATTTTCTGTTGTCTTTAACAGCAGTAGCCAGATTGAGCTCCAGATGAGCTTTGGCCTTTCTAATTTTGTCCCTACACATCCCTACAACATCCTTATAATCCTTCTGAGTGGCCCACCCTCTTTTCCAAAGACCACAAACCCTCTTTTTTCTTTTTTTCCGTAAGCTCTAGCCACAACTCTCCGTTCAGCCAGGCCAGTCTTCTTCCACGCCAGCTTGTCTTTGGGCATGTGGGGACCATAATGGCTCCTGAGCCATTAACATTTCCTTCTTGGGGAGTGCCCAGCCTTCCCAGACTCCTCTGCCCTTCAGAAGTGCCTCCCAAGGGACTCTGCCAACCAGTGTCCTGAACAGCTCAAAGTCTGCCCTCCGGAAGTCTAAGACAGCAGTTTTACTGATCCCCCTACTGAATTTGCCAAAAATAGAGAACTCTACCTTTTTGTGGTCACTCTGCCCAAGACAGCTCCCAACCACCACATCTCCCACCAGTCCTTCTCTGTGTGTGAACAGAAGGTCCAGCGGGGCACCTCCCCTGGGAGGCTCACTAACCAGCTGCATCAGGAAACTATCTTCCACGCTCTCCAGAAACCTCCTAGACTGCTTCCTCTGAGCTGTATTGCATGTCCAGGATATGGCCGGGAAGTTGAAGTCCCCCACATGGACAAGAACCGACGATTTTGCAACTTTTGCTGGCTGCCTGTAGAATTCCTCATCTTGGTTTGGTAGTCTGTAAGAGCCCCCCATGGGCTCTTACAGCCATGCTTGCCTCATTGGCCTTCCCACTGATCCTAACCCATAGGGAATCAGCCTTATCATCCCCAGTCTCAGCCTCAAGTTCCACAACATCAAAACACTCTATCGTATAGAGAGCCACGCTCCACCCCTTCTGAAGAGCCTATAGCCAGCCATTGCAGCACTCCAGTCATGGGAGCAGTCCCATCACATTTCAGTGATGGCAACCAAGTCATAGCTAGCCTGCTGCACAATGGCTTCCAGCTCCTCCTGTTTGTTGCCCATGCTGCATGCATTGGTGTAGATGCACTTCAGCTGGGCCATTGCTTTCTCCCCCAGCCCTGACATTGGTCTCCCTGGCACACCTCTAACAAGCCTTATTCCCTCCCCATCCCCCTTCCTACCTAGTTTAAAGCCCTGTCAATGAGAGCCCTGCCAGCTCCTGGGCTGGTGTCTGTTTTCCCCTTTGAGACAGGTGGGACCCACCTGCAGTTAGCAGGCTGGGTACTGAGTAAAGCATCCTGTGGTCAAAAAAACACAAAAATAACTCCTGTGTTGGCACCAGCCTCTGAGCCACCTGTTTATTAGGTGGCCTTTCCAGATCCTCTGTGCACCCCTCCCTGCCACTGTAGGGATGGAGGAAAACATGACCTGTACTCCTGCTCCATCTACTAATAATCCCAGTCCCCTAAAGTCCCGTTTGATGGTCTTCAGGCTTCTGTCTTCACTATCATCTCTGCCAGCCTGGACTGTTAAAAATAGAATAGTAGTCAGAGGGATGAACCAGGTTAGGAAGTTTTCTGGCAATGTCCCTGGTCCTGGCCCCAGGGAGGCAGCAGACTGCCCTATGGGTAGGGTCAGGTCAACAAATAGGGCCCTCTGTTCCCCTGAGAAGGGAGTCGCCTACAACAATCACCCTTCTTTCTGTCTTCATGGAGGCAGTCCTGAGGCATGGAGTCGACTTCCTCGCCCTAGGCATCCTTCTGGGTAGACTTTCTACCTCTTCCTCAGCTACTGGTCTCTCAAGCTCCAGGACCTCCAACCTGTTGTGTAAGGGCATCTGGGGAGGCAGGACCGGTAGGAAGGGGCATTGCCTGTTATGTCAAGCAGGGACCTGCTTCCATTCCTCCTCATGCTCCTCCTGCTTGACAGGGACAGGGCAGGGGCTCCACCACTGTTTGGGGTGTCTCACCCTGGTGCCTTTCCTTCAGGCCTTGCAGGGAGTTGCTCCACGGGTCTATCTCCTGCTCACACTCCCTGATAGCCCTCAACCTCTCCACCTCCACCTTGAGCTGTGCCACCAGGCTGACCAGGTCATCCACCTGCTCACAACTCTCACATGCAGTGTCTCTGCTGCCCTCAGAGGGTAGCAACAAGTTCAGGCACTCAGTGCATCCAGAGACCTGAAGTGCCGCATTTTTGAGCTGGCACTCAGTCTGGGTGGCCACAGACTTTCTAAAAAGAGCTGTCTGCTTAGTGATGACCATGGTGGTTTACCTATAGGTAGGCGGCTGGTAGATGAGTTGTTGTTGTGAATAGGGCTGAACACTCTGCCCTGCCTACGGGCGCCCTGTCTGCACGAACCGCCACACCTGGCCCTGTTTGCCCGTCCTGGTCACTGCGCTCCCCAGGGGCAGCTTTTGAACGGCCTGGGAGGGGGCGCTGCTGGCTCCGCCTACTCGTCAGCCTCCCACGCGAGGGCCTCCAGGTCCTGGTGGTTCCTGCAGCTGCTTTGATTGGCTTCGATGCCACAAAAAAGCTCTGCCTGCCTCGATTCCCTGCTCCGCCACAGAAAGTGTCTCCATGCTAAGGAGCAAGATGGGTTTGTCAGAACATTGGAAAGACAAAGTAATTTACCTGAGTTCTACTATCTGACCACCGTCCTCTCGTATTTACTGAAGTAGCTGTTACAGGGGAAAAAGACACTTTTGAAACTCAGGCTGAGGAATGCTCGAGTCCTAAAGGCCCACCATAGCTCTCAGCAGTGTGAGTGTTTTGAGCTTGCTCATACTGGAACTAGCTGGGATCAGCTTGCTGTATGACACTGTGTTTATCCAGACCTTGTGAGATTTGACTTCCCTTCCTATGTAAGATGTTGTTTGGGCAAAACTGACGCAGGGTGACTGCCTTTTGTCATTGCTGAAATAAATGCCAGTCCTGACTCAAAATCTCTGCTTTAAAATGCTGTAAAGCAAGCAGAGAGACAAGGATGAGCAGGAGGGAAGAAAAGTTGGTATGCTACAGCTATGGCTATTTAGAGGAAAAATCACCAATAATGTTTCCAGTAGCAGGGCTGTAAATAATGCCTATGTAAAATTTACTTGAGGTAAAAAGATGTCTGTGATCATATTTTGTTTCCATGTAACTAATTTAGTACCTTAAGACTGGTTGTACTAATTCTTCAGCCTCAGACACTAACAGCATGCACTAGCTCTGAAAGTTGTGACATTTAATAATTTACAGCAAGAAAAGGAGCTTAAGATAGCATGCTTCCAGAGGACTTGCATTGCATCCTGCAGGTGGCTGCTAATGCTCGCTGGTATGTGACCTATGTACTTGGCTGCTCTGAGTTAAAGGCCAGAGAGATTCTTTATTGCCAATTACTTTGAGATGCTTCTTGATACTTTGACATAAATGAGATGTTGGGTTCTGATTAAGATTACATTTTTTTTTCTTGTGGTCTTTGTTCTGTGTATCCTCAACAGGAATTGCTGGAGTTTAAGGAGAATCATTTTTAGTGCTGCTCTTTCTCTTCCCATATGAAAGAACATCTTGTTTATGCTGTTTTTGGACTAATACATCAAAATCACTCCCGATACACAATTTCTGTTATGTGCAACTTCACTTGTGTGAGTAATCCTACTAATGTTTTCAGTAGCTTTCACAATTACTTTTGTGAGCAAAGGCTCTTGTATTGATCCAAGGCTCTAATATAAATTTCAGGGCTTAAGCGGCAACATCTTAGTGATGCCCATAACTAGATCCTACTTCAGTGTTTCCTTCTGTTTTTAATTGTGTCGTAATGGTCCTTGTAAAAATTTAATTGCATTGCAACCTGTGACTTGATAGCAGAATTAGCTACTGGGTAAAAGCATTCAGTTAATTATTGAAACTGTGATCTCCAACTGGAGAGCTTAAAAGGAAAGTAAGATGAGTGGAAATGTTTTAATTAATGAACAAAAACTTAGACTGGTCAAGGGAAGAGATGACTTTTGAAGGAAAAATAGCAGCAATAAATTTTTAATTGTGATGGTTGATGACCTTTGGCAAACCCCATTACGCTGCTGTTGGGGGAGAGGAGGCGTAGCCAGGCAATTCATTAAGATATTGTGGTTGAAACTCTGTATATGCATGTTATGCAGAGCTTAGGTGGTCTGAATTTATTTTATTTTATACCACTTCCAGAGTATGAACCAAGCGTCTGCCAGGAAATGTCTGGTAGAAGCTTTGTGCTTTCCTCACCCTGTACTCTACACCTGGAGGATTGACTGTAGCTTTCACAAATGCTTTGTGAACTGGCTTTTAAGAATGAGAAGCTATGCTCCATGCAGCAACCTCTTTTTCAAGCTGACCTGTGCTGTGGTCAGCAGATGGCTAAACTTCTTATGCCTGCAACCAACTTGGGCTCCCATTTGTGTTGATATTTGGTGATACACAAGTGTATATTGAGGGGAAAAAAAGACTTGTTTGCATGAATTCATACATATTAAAATTTGCAAGAAATATATGTATTTTATAACCATTAGCTCTCACTATGACACTAAAAGGAAAACCACGTTTTATTCTCAGATGCATCAGTTGCCAGCACTCAGACTCCAATTGAAGTGTTTTTGATCCCTCTTCCTTCCTCTCCCACTTCTGTATAAATATGGAAACAAGATTTTGAAGCAGTATGAATTATAGTTATAGGAGTCATGCGTGACCTTTGAAGGCTTTCTAGAAAAGCTCGTTACTGCCTTGTGTGTGCACTTTCCTGAAAGATTGGAGCTTGCTTCATATCTATCAATTAAAGTAAATTTAGCATAACTGGAAAATAAGTAAAATGCGTAGCTGTAACAGGCAGTTGAAATTAATTTTAGATTTTGTAATACATAGATTAGTCATTGCAACCACTTTGACAAAATTTGGCACTTCCCCCTTTTCTCAGAAAACAGTAGGAGGTACCTTTGTGTTCATTTAGACGCTCAAGTAACTTCTTTCTTCCTGTTAGAAAAAGATGTGATATTATTCTTAATCCTAAAATGTTTTTTTTTTTAATTGAGTAAAACTTTTAATTCATTAGTTATAGAATAAAAAGTAAATCGGATTTCCCTTTAAAGTGTAGCTGACTTAGTGAAGAAAGGGAAGGTTATCGATATTTGGGTAACTGAAACAATGCAGTCAGGCACTTAAAATAAATGGTTTGCAGAAAGGTGTGATAATAGCAGCATGGCTGGGAGAAACATATATCTGTGGCAAAAGTCATTATTAGTGCAGCATTGTTTTTATGTTGTACAGCGATTATAAGCCATAAAAATGTCACGCACTGTTCCTATAAGCAAAGTAGCACTTTGGGTACACAGGAATCTGGAAATGTTGATTAAATTCAGAGCTTCGGCAGTTCCTGGTAACCAATATGTGCTAGTGTAATTACAGCTGAAACACCCCCAATTCACAGTCAGCTTTATTCTGGGTAGAATGTAAATATCTGATTGCTGGAAACCTGCTAGCACATATGTTGTCATCTTTTGGTAACAAGAGATCATCCTTAAAAAGTAGAATGAAGACAGAAATAACCTGTGCAACCACCAAGCATTAGTCATATAGCTCTTATATAATGCTTACGTCTTCAATCAGCATGCTGACAGCTGGGCTTCTTTGTAATATTTATCTGGTTCTCCAGTATCTGTCTCATTTGGAAGAGGGAAGGAAATGGATCCAAGTGCTAAGGAGCATGCTGAGGTACACGCAGCACTTAGTTTTGAGAGTATTGCAACAAAGGAGCATCCTCCATCGCAGCACTGGACAAGGCAGTAGCAGAATGGAGGTCTGTAGCAGCTTCTCCCCATGTGCTCCCCAGTGAAGGTGGCAGCGCTTGGCATAGTTTTCCTCATCCTAGGTAAGGAGGTGTATTTCCTCTGCACTTAGTTTTTTTGCCTTGATGGAAGGGACAAATTAAAATATATAGCTTGAAATACTGAAAATGGCATTTCAGCAGTTGAAAGCCAACATGTGGTAGACTTCAGCTTGCCAGAGCTCTTGAACGTGCATCTCTTAGACCTAGCCCCAAGAGAAGTGCTCATATACATAGATTTTCCTTTGCGGATTTTCACATTGCTACTTGGCTATGGCTATGTAGTCATAATAATGCATAAAAAAGAGGGGGATTCTCTGGGAGATAAGCCATTTTTATATGGGAATTACCTTGTAATGGTTCAGTAATCATTGTGGCTACTCTTAGCTTGATCTAGGATCAAATGTTTTTTAGTTCAAATGTATTGGATGTCTGTTCTCTATTGAACTGTAAAACTACTAACAGGAGTTGGAAGTACTCTGTGATGTCATTATGAAAGGTTACTTGTTGAGGCTGAAAAGAATTGTGTGGTAATCAAGTTTTAATAAGTACAAGAGATCTGTGTACTTTAAGGTAACATTATTCTTAGCTTATTCTTGTCTTTACAGACTGAATTTCGTGATAGCTTGGCCGTAACCATGTATTACCTTTTTATCTTTTCCTTTTTAGAAATACATGCAAAAAATGGTGCTGCTTTCTTTGTTGATTGGTGTCCTACACTGAAATACTGGAGGAAAAATAGTTATTGTCCCTAGAGGATATTTATGACCTCCTGATTTTACATAAGCTTCTAGTGTAAAAAAGTCAAACCAAAATATCAAACAGAACTAAGATGCCTTTCTTTAAGGAAAAACTAAAAGCACAACAAAAATCGCTATAAAATTGCATAAGTAATACTTCTTTTTTTTTTTTTTAAAAAAAAAAAAAAGCATCTTATTTACTTAAGTTGTTATAGAAACCTAGAAACTTAATGAATGGCCTAGGGAACGCGAAGGGGAGGTAATTATTTATAAGAATATAAGGTTGCACACACCCATCTGGTAGCAATTTAAAACCAGTATTAATTAATTTATCTTGATTCATGCAATATAATTGTGGAACTTGATGCTGCAGAGTTTAGTGACGCCAAAATTATAATTGGGATCAGAAAGGTATCAAGTGAGTTCATGGAAGGTAGGTTTGTGCCAGGATGTCAAACAATCTGGATGCAGTCCTAGTCCAAGTAACCCCATTTTTTCTGAGATGACTAACAGATGAAGGCAGTTAGAAAAATCTGTTTCCAGTGTATTTTTTTGAATAACATCTCTTTTTCACTAACTACTTACTTATTTTCTTTCAAACCTAAGTATGTATTTCCTCACCATGTTTGTAGTTGCATGAATATGGAGATACTCTTTAAGGAAAGTTAAAGTTCTTTGAAAGTACCCTTACTCCCTGAGTTCATGTACTGATACACAGAAAACTATTACTCTGAAAGATCTGATGATGGACAACGAATAATGTGCCTGCTCTTTCTTTGCTTTAGGACACCGAAGCATGTTTGACCACTCATCTCACAGTGCAAGCTCAAAAGTAACAGAGAGGAAACTACATGGGACTTGTCCTCCAGTTGGTCGTGGAAACTGTGGAAAACAATGTGTGAATGCGAGCAGCTATAGGTCTTCATTTTTTAATCCCTGGAATGGTTTTCATACAATACATTCAGAGCACAGTTCTCTGAAGCCAACGATTATTACAGTGGTGAAACCCAGCAGGCATACACTCAAAAAGATAACCTTGCTTCTGAACAGGAGATCTGTCCAGACCTTTGAGCAGCTGGTGGCTGACATTTCAGAAGCTCTGGGATTTCCACGCTGGAAGAATGATCATGTGAGAAAGCTTTACAGTCTGAGAGGCAGAGAAATCCGAAGTGTTTCTGATTTCTTCAGGGAAGGCAATGCATTCATAGCTATGGGGAGGGAGCCCCTTACGTTGAAGAACTTGGAAGTGGCAATACAAGAACTTTGTCCTGAAAATCCTTATGCTGTCAGTGCAATTCAGCAAGATGAGGAGCAGTCCCAAAAACTGAAGAGCAGGCTGTATGACGAAGCATCAAAAGTGGACAGTGGATTTGATGAGGTAGAGATTGCCAAGAATTGCGGTGATGTTATGTCTCCCACACTGGTAGCTAGAAAAAGTCAAGCCAAGACAAAGCAAGAAGAGAAAATGAGAACAAAAAAAAAGTGGACTAGAGAGAGTTGGGATGGTGAGCAAGGAGTGAGGCCTTCTAGAAAAAATCGAGAAAGTGAGAGGTACCTTAAGCAAGAGAGGAGCCCTGAGAAGGGATTAGAAGAGATTACAGTGGAAGTAGTGAGGTGTGAGAAGTGTGAACAGGAAAGGCAGGCGAGGCAAAAGTTACAAAGGGAAAGGCATGCTGAGACTTCATTTGAGAACACAGACCTGGACGCAGGTGCATGTCAGAAGTATCAGTTAGAAAGAAATGCAAAAATCAGGAATAGCCGAAAATCTTCTGAAATTCCTCTAGAAGGTGAAGAAGTTGGCTGGAAAGAGAATGGCTGCAGAAAGACCTGGAAACCTCTACATAGGAATGTTAATGAAGGGCTGGAAAAGCAAAAAAAGAGCATTGAGATAGAAAGAAATCCAGACAAACATGAAAACCACGAGAAAGAAGTGGTGAAAATCAAGAAGAATGCTGTGGAAAGGCTGCAAATAACTCATGAAGTGAAGGAAGAAAGTGGAAGTAGCTGTGTAACTAATCAAAATGGTTGGCTAACGAAAGACACTCCAAGAGATGCTGAGAAACCATCTAAAGTACATAGGGACAGCAGAGAGGGTCAAAGGGCTAAAGAGGAGGGTGCCAGGAGAGAGAGAAATATACATAGAGAGAATGACGTGACTCGACGAGAGAAAACAGGAGAGCGTAGAATGAATAAAGAAGAAAACAAGGCTCTGGGACTGGAAAACACAAGCCGGAGGCATGCCATTAAAAACAGAACTGATGTGGAAAACCACTATGAGATTGGCAGGACTATTGGGGATGGGAATTTTGCAGTGGTGAAGGAATGTCGCCACTGCAACTCTAATCAGATCTATGCTATGAAGATTGTGGATAAATCCAAGCTGAAGGGGAAAGAAGACATGATGGAAAGCGAAATTCTGATCATTAGGAGTCTTTCTCATCCCAATATAGTAAGCTTAATTGAAGTGTATGAGACGGAAGCTGAGATCTACCTAATCCTGGAGTATGTCCCAGGAGGGGACTTATTTGATGCAATCATAGAAAGTGTGAAGTTCACAGAGCATGATGCTGCTGTCATGATCACTGACCTGTTTGAAGCCCTGGTGTATATTCACAGCAAGAACATCGTCCACAGAGACCTCAAACCAGAGAACCTTTTGGTAAGTATGGGCAAACACACTCTATATTTGCAGGAGTGGGATTTATTTTCATTTTTGTTATGGTTCTTTGAATAGTTTTAAGCAAATAATATGTGAAGAGAATGTACTGTGGCAATACTGTTTGGAAAAATGAATATGATCTTGAAATTAGCATGACAGTCTACTCTGTGTAGATCTGCTCTAGGCTGTAGATCACAGTGCTTGCAAACAGAAATTCAAATGAAAATGATCTGGCTTTCAGGGGCAGTGAGCATTTGTATTCTGGGAATCAGGCATACTATTTATCATCTGACTTCTTGGTACACAGGTTTGAATGTTTTGCACTGAATCATCAGGTGTTTTCCTTGCAGACCAAAATTTATTAAAATTGCTAATTCCGCTTATTTGATGGACTTCTTGTCCACTACCGACCACTGTGGCAATCCTCTACTGTAGTGATTTCAATTCTGTGACAATTTTACTTTCTTAGGAGCAGAAGTACAATGCATTTATCTGAAATAAGCTGATGGCGATATACAGACGTTTTGGTGAAATATAACACCAAGCACTAAAGTTAACTCATACTCACATTGTGCTAAGGAGTTCTCTTTTCCAACATATTTCTGAGGCTATATGCCTTGCATCCAGAACTGAAGTCAGTAAAGTTACTCACGTGTAAGATAGGGTAGAAGTGTTTCCAATATTGACTCTTGGTTAGCACACCGATTATAACAGGGTGAAAGTAAGCAATTGTCCCTTGCCAATCATTTGTTATGCTCTTCTCCTAGTGCTCCAAATTTCTGAGCAGAGTTACCAAATATCTGCCTGACTCTAACAGACCTAATTTCTTCTGTTGGTGGAAGATCATAACCAAAAAATTGTTAACAGATTATTAGACCTATGTGTCATTCAGTTCTTTAAGGCAATTAACTCTGGGGAAAAAAAATAAATCTGTATTTCTGGAGAAAGGACATACAGAGGTTGAGCAAAGCTGGGTCTGAAGAATTTGCATCCAAACCTTTTGACTAACCAATGGACCTATACTAGGTCCTGCTATGCATTCTGCCTAGTCTGATGAAAATCCTTGGTATGTGGTGTGTTTGTATAAATAAAAGATGGGGAATGCAAGTGGTTCTGGGTCCTGCCATGCCTTGTTTTGCTGTTTGAGCAAAACTTCACTCAGAACTGAAGGGATTTCTACCAGAAGCTAATTTTCCACTGTAAGCTAGGCTTTGCTCCTTCCTCTTGACTGAAAATAAATTGCTGTATATGAAACACCTGAGACCAGATGCTTTGTTTCTCTGCATAATATGTAATCTTTTCAGTGCTGCAGTTAAGTGAAAAGAGAGATATGATCCAGGTCTCACCTGATGGTTTTCACATGTAGTTCGCAGCACTGCAGAACATACTGGTGAGCAAAGTTTTGTAACACTGAAGAAATTGTGTTGCCTGCTCTGGCTGAATTACAGAAACATAGAACAGCATTACCAGAACTAACAAGAAAAAGATAACCTCTTCTGGTTTCACCTTGCTTGTTAAATGACTGAATTCCATGTTTACGCACTGTTTATGTGATGCTTCTTTTTGAAAAGTTACTGTGTTCAACAAGCTATGTGAGCTTGTAAGTTGTTGATACTATTGAATAGCTCATCTGCTATCTAATAATCATCCCTAAAAATACAGGTGAGCTTTCTGAAATTTTAATATGCTTTCTCTGACTCCTTAGAGTGACTGGAGCAGTAATAGCAGAACAATGTGGACAGCTGCTGCTAATTTAGTGTTGGCCAGATCTACACAGTACCAAACGTTACTGAAGCAAGTTTATGGGCTCATCCACTGTTGGTGGGCCGGGGGCTTGGAGCAGCCTTCTGGAAGTGTTGGCATCCTGTGGTGTCTCCACTTTGTCCTTTGTTGTGGGATAGCTACCTACTGCTTCACTTCACATTCCTATACCACAGATGTTTGTCTGAATTAGTCTCCCTAGGCTGTCTTTGATCAGAGGACAGAAACAGGCTCATACTTTTTCATAGAACCATAGACCTATTTAGGTTGGAAAAAACCTTCCAGATCATCCTAACCAAGTCCACCACCAAACCATGTCCCAAAGTGCCACATCCACATATTTCTTAAATACTTACAGGGATGGTGACTCCACAATTTCCCAGGTCAGCCTGTTCCAATGCCTACCCACCTGGTCTGGGAAGAAACTCTTCATAATATCCAATCTAATCGGTTTTTGGCTGTTGACTCATTTGGAATACTTTGGGGTCTTTTGGTCCGGTGAATCCTGTCCTTTCTCTGTTGCGAAGCACGGACGAAAGCACGACAGACACCAGCAGAGTCAGATCATGCTTCACCATTTTATTGCCCGAATAGGCCAACTTTTATAGTAAATTTTACAGGGGTGGACAGTGTTTCACACAAGATTATTGGTCAAAAGCACCTAGACAAACCGTTAAGAAAATAACACCACCTGCAAGAAAAGAACCCCCCCTTTTGATTAGAAGTTAGGAAAACAACCCCCTTTGTGCTTAACGGTCACGTAGGCCTAGTCCTTGAGGCCAGCTGCTGATAACAATATTTTCTGAGTTCCTTAATTGGGTGATGTGGGAGTCATTGCCGTGGGAGCTTCTCACAGTTACTCTGGCAGCTTGGTTTGCTCAGCTACAGCAGGCCCTGAGATTTCTAAGGCCTACCCCTGGTTGCTTATGTCCACGTCCTGTATGCCAATTCCCAACATTTCTCTTTCTTGTCAACCATTTTTTTCCATATTTCTTAAACCTTCCCAGCAAATGGAGACTGGCAGAGAAAGGATCCTTAGCCTGTTTTCCTAAGGGAATATGTTTTGTCTACTGTAAGTCTAGACAAAGACTTTCCTATTTTCTGTGGGAATCTAGGCTTGCTCCTAATGAGTTGAACTTACTGGAAAATAAGCAGCTGGGGAAAGAAGGGAAACCATGTTTCTGTCTCTACAGAGGATAAGGTAGAAAGATACTTTGATGTCTAGTGAGTTATTTACGCAGAGCTGAAAATCTGTTTTTGTTAGTTTGCTCATGTGGTGCTGTCCTCTAGTTACAGACTTGTGTAGCAGCCCACCGTTAAATCCTTTTTGCCTTTCATCTGCCTCTCCCAATTTCATTACTGTGCCTGGCCACAACTTTCAGACTCCTTGCAGTGTAGCTATGAGGCAGAAGACTTGCACTACCAAAACAAAATCCGTTTGACAGGTGGCGTGAAGACAGCTGCTCTGAAGTCCCTTTCCACTAATGGAATCAACTGGCATAGTATGAGGTGTTTAGCGAGGTAACCTTTGCTACCAAGGCTGAGTGATGTGGTATATTTGCCCCACAGAAGAAGCTGGTCACTACTTTAATGCTAGCTGGAAGAGCATAGGAGGAGTAGAATTTGCCACCAAGGTTTTTAGTTAAGGGACTGTTTAATTCCACAGGTGGTGGCATTTCTGTGAGTCAGAAATTAATTTCAAACTGTAGAGGCTGTTCTTCCAGGTTATAGCAGTAAAAGATGCAGAGTCACATCCTTCTCCCCTTTTTTTTCATGGTGTAGATTTTCGTATTTGTGATTGTGAACTCATTTTCTTGTATTAAACCCCAAAATGCTAATATGGTAACTGGGCTTTATAAGTGTTGCAGCTTTTTATGCATTTGAGTTTTTTCCTTTCCTTTTTCCTTTCTCGTTTCTTTCAAGTTTTCAAATGTGTATGAGAACTTCAAGTGTAGCTGTTTTATCAATAAACTTTGGTTTTGTGACCCTATTTACAAATAGATAAAGTGCTGTTGAAGGTCTCCAAGTGCATTTCAGTTAAAATTCTATTTAACCAGTTCCCTATCAGTATGTTAAACCTATGCAGGTTATTTTCTGTAAGATTTCTTTTATAGAGAGATTGTTCTAGCTACTATCTATCAAGGGATGTCTGAAACTCAAATGTAGAAGCAGTGCTTTCTTTCTATCTCTGCTTTTAATATGCAAAAAGTTGCATGGGCTAGCTTGATATCATTATGTCTGTATGTAGAATCTGTACTTCCATACATACATGCATAAAGAGGAATATTAATGCTATAAAACATCTTAAACACATTGGATTTCACAATGTGGATATGAAAACAAGAACTTCGGAGTCATCAACAGACAGAAAAAAAAGACCAGTTTATCCCTTTTTGAAGATGAACTTGTCTTTGTATTAGTATATTATAATCTTTCAGGTGTATGGCTGCAATAGCTAGAAATCCATAAACAGTATTTGGGTATCCTGCTATCAATTCTGACTATCCTGCAAACAATTCTGACTGTCCTGGTTCAGGACTACCAGATGCTGGCTTCCCTTACAGATGATGCATGCAATTAGCTGTATGGCTTAAATTGGGTGTCTACAGACAAAATCTGCTGGATGGATGCTGCTCTTCTTCGTGGTAGTTAGCTCTGTAGGCAGGTAAGGGCAGCTCTTTTGGAATGAACTTTTAGAACCAGTCTTTGTAGTCTTGAATGCAGATGCTATAACAGGTGTCATGATAAAGCTGGGATGATCCTCTAGTGTTACTATTTTTTGCTTTGTTTGTCCCATTTCAAAGTATGTGGGATATGTCAAAGGCTAGATTTCTCTTGGGAAGATTGTAGATTTCTGTGATACTGCTGTGAGTAAAAGCTCTTGCCTCAGGAGGGAATACAAGCAACCTGAGCGGCTTTTCTTTCTGTAATGCATATTTGCCTGCTATTTTTGCTGCCAGGTGATGGAAAGGTGGACTGGAAATTGCAAAGTTTGGGATGAAGGGAATGGAATGCTTGCTTGATCTGAGCTGACTTTGAGTTGTTAGTGAAGAGGCTGAGGAGATCTGGGCTGAGGTTTTCAGGCATGTTGACAGGTTACACACTGGCTTTGAAATGGTTGTCACAGGGCTGTAAAAATACACCCATGTTGCATACTGTTCCTACCTGTTCAAATGTCAAGTAAACTGAAAACTAAGTGGTTTTATCCTCAAGAACACATGGTGCAGTATTGCTACCTTGTGCTCTGATCAGAGGTTAGGACTTTGGCTTCTATGTGAAAAGTACACCAGTGTGTTTCATCAAGCAAAATGACCAGACATTTCCTAATGGCTTTCGTGCGTTGGGATTAAGACCAGGATTTCTCCCTTCACTAGTTTCTTTAACGTAAATAAATTATTTTTTTTAAAAAGAGTGTTTCAATTAGAGGTTTTGTAGCATTCTACCACTGTTAACCATATAGTTAGAATAGAAATCTTGTGGATAGATGCAGTTCTAGAAAATAACTGTTACTTTTGTCATTTTTCATTTTGTCAGCTGTTGAGTCCATAGTGAATGATGACAACAAATCCTCATGAAGTTGACTAATGCAATAGAAGAGAAGATAGCTATGGCCTTTTAGTTTTCTCCTACAGAATTTTTGTCCGTGTGGTCATAGGAAACTTTTACTTTCAATTTCATGGTGGCAAACACATTTTTCTCAAAACAGGGGGAAAAAAATCACAAAACTCTCGCTTAATCAAATCTGGATGAGTGCTTGTAGTTTCCATAAAGAAGAAAAACAGGAAGTAGTTGGCTGTAATGTAGGTGAGCAAATCTTGTCCCATCTGTGTTCTTAGTTGTCTTGTAATAGAGACCATCTTGAATTTTTGGCTGTCTCAAGCACTGCCTGATGGCAAAGAATGAGGTGTTAAAGAGTGAAGTATGCCTGTCACCTCATTCTGGCTTGTCTGCTCAAAAACCAAGTGCAGATTTTCTTGGTTTCCCTATATTCATGTTAGATGCTGGTCTGTTCCCCACAGTTAGAGACAGATAATTTCTCATTAGAAGCAAGTTTATGACATTTTTTACTTAAAGAATATCTGAGTATCAGTCACCAGTTTTAAGAATAGTAATGTGTTTAATTACCCTGTTATCTTATTAATGACTTGACCTTTCAATATTTTTTCTTAAAATAATGTTTCATTAGCTGCATTACAAATTAATGCTAAAGACGTGTATACAACATTAGAATGGGAACAAGTGTTTTGATTACCTTACACACAAATGCAGGAGATGGGAACTGATGGAAAGGCACACTTACAAGGATGATTTGTTGGATTCATTTCTCCAACTTGTACTGTGTGATTTCTGCAATTCATTTATTTTCAGAGCAGCAGGTAGAGTGGCAAAATAATTTGCAAAGAAAATAAAGCCCTTTTCTTTTCTTTTCTTTTTTTTTTTTTTTTTTGGACCTTTGTGATGGAGTTACACTCTTCAAGTGACACTGTAAAGTCAGTGGCATACGTGGCAATATCAATTACCATAAAATCATAGGATCATCTAGGTTGGAAAAGACTTTCAAGACAACAAAGTCCAGACATGAACTTGACCTAACAATTCCTATCATTAAACCATGTCCCTTAGTGCTGTGTCCACACATCTCCTAAATACTTCCAGGCGTATTTAGGGGTAGTACTCTACCACTCCCCTGGGCAGCCCCTTCCAATATCTGACCACCCTCCCCACGAAGAATTTCTTTCTAATGTCCAGTCTAAACCTCCCTATGCACAAGTTGAGGGCCGTAACATTCTCCTTTGCTTTCCTAAGGTGAAAAATAAATGTTTAATTCACTCTCACTTATTTTTGGTCTTCCTCCTTTTTGTTTCTTTGAAATTAGTGTGCCAGAGTTTAAAGAGCAAAATTTTCTTTTTTCATTATTAATTTTCCCTCTTATATACATGTGCTGTCTTGGTACATGGAGAAGAGTAAACTTTCTGAATAGTGTTTATCAAAATATGTTTTCCATTTCATTTTGTTTTGGTTGATGGTACCATTATTAGAACCTCTTCCTCTGGCATCGCTAGTAGGTCAAGGGAGGTGATTGTCCCGCTCTACTCTGCGCTGGTGAGGCCTCACCTCGAGTACTGTGTGCAGTTCTGGGCACCACAGTATAAAAAGGACATGAAACTGTTGGAGAGTGTCCAGAGGAGGGCTACGAAGATGGTGAAAGGCCTGGAGGGGAAGACATACGAGGAGCGGCTGAGGGCACTGGGCCTGTTCAGCCTGGAGAAGAGGAGGCTGAGGGGAGACCTCATCGCAGTCTACAACTTCCTCGTAAGGGGGTGTCGAGAGGCAGGAGACCTTTTCTCCATTAACACCAGTGACAGGACCCGCGGGAATGGGGTTAAGCTGAGGCAGGGGAAATTTAGGCTTGACATCAGGAGGGGGTTCTTCACAGAGAGGGTGGTTGCACACTGGAACAGGCTCCCCAGGGAAGTGGTCACTGCTCCGAGCCTGACTGAATTTAAGAAGAGATTGGACTGTGCACTTAGTCACATGGTCTGAACTTTTGGGTAGACCTGTGTGGTGTCAAGAGTTGGACTTGATGATCCTTAAGGGTCCCTTCCAACTCAGGATATTCTATGATTCTATGATTCTCTGTATTACTAACTATTTCATTTATCTTTTGCAATCTAAAAATGCATGTGGACTAAATATATATTTCATCGAATGTAGGTTCAGCACAATGCAGATAAATCTACTACACTGAAACTAGCAGATTTTGGCCTTGCAAAGCTGGTTACAAAACCTATATTTACCGTTTGTGGAACACCAACGTATGTTGCACCTGAGATACTTGCTGAGAAGGGTGAGTGTATACATCTATAATTTCTAGTAAATCATCCAATTGCTCTTAACTTTCTAATCATGGACATATTCCATAATGTTTCAACCTACTGATATGTCTTTACAGGGTAGGAGGTTGGCTAGCAGCAAAATCAGTGAAAGGAAAGAAAACCTCTTAGCTTTTGACAAACACAAGCATGATATCAGTCATATTTACATTATTGTCTATGTGATATAATTGTGATTTCCAAGCAGGCAACTTACTAAATTACCATAGAAAATAATTGCTGAACTGATGAAATAAGCAAAAGTTTGTCTTGCAACCTCAGGATAGTCACCCCCATTTTGTGACTGTAAACCAAACAACTTTCCAAGGCCCTCTGATGCAAGAAGATGGTGAACATGTATGCTAAATACATGTAACAAGCCAAAGCATCATTCACATCAGAGAGAATTTTGTTGATTTCGTATCCAAAAAGACTCAGACCTGGAAAGGAGTAAGATTTTGATGACTCAAGAAAAGCTATTTCTGTGTCTTGTTCTGTAGAGCTGGGTTGAACATCTCCAGTTATAGTCAACTTCAATGGAAACTTGGCACTCTTAGTACTTTTTTTTTTTTAAAAGAGAAACTTTTAGAAATATGCCTCATATTTTCTCAATTAGTCTCCTGTTGACATTGGCCTTGTAAGACAGACAGTGATTGTGAAACATGTTGAAGAAGAGAGGCACTGTGTGAGAGCTGTGAGTATTAACAGAGCAGATCCACTTGCAGAAGTGGTGTACCAGCCACTTACTCTTCTGCTGACCTTGTCTTTCTAAGAAGCTAAACAAAGCTTCTCTGTTTCGTAGAGAATAAAATGAAAAAAGAAACAGCTCCTACCAGTCATGAGTTGTGTTTTTTGTTGTTGATGCTGCTGTTTGTTTTTATTTATTTTCTAAAACAAGACTTAGTAAAAGATGTTTAGCCATGGTTTGTATTTTCTTCCTTAGGCTATGGGCTCGAAGTAGATATGTGGGCAGCTGGTGTGATCCTTTACATTTTGCTCTGCGGTTTTCCTCCGTTTCGCAGTCAGGAACGTGATCAAGAAGAGCTGTTTCAAATCATACAGCTGGGTCACTATGAGTTTCTTTCCCCATACTGGGACAATATTTCTGCAGGTAAGTGTGGTGGTTTTACTCAGGTGGGCAGCCGAGCTCCACCACAACCGCTCTCTCATTCCCTCCCCTCCTCAAAGAGGAAGGGGGAGAAAATACAACACAAAGAGCTCGAAGTTTGAGATGAGAATGATTTAATTAAAGGGAAAGGGAATGGGGAGAAAAAGAAACAAAAGAAACTATAAGGCCGCATAGAAGCACAGAGAGAAAGAAAAAGTTACTCTCTACTTCCCATCAACAAGTGATGTTTGGCCATGTCCTGGGAAGCAGGACCTCAAAACACATAGCGGTTGTTCAGGAGGACAGTCCCCTCCCCCACAAAAGCCCCCCTTTTTATTCTTGAGTGTTACATCAGGTGTTATAGAATATCCCTTTGGTTGGTTTAGGTCAGCTGCCCTGGCAATGTTCCCTCCCCATCACTTGCCCACCCCCAGCCTGCTGGCTCTTGGGGACTTGGAGGGAGTCCTGATGCTGTGCCAGCACTATGCAGCAATAGACACAACACTGGAGTGATATCAGTGCTGTTCCTGCTACGAGTGCAGAGCACAGCACTGTGTGGGCTGCTGCAGGGAAAGGTGACTCCGTCCCAGACGGACCCAACACAGTAAGATTCAACATGTATACCAGCTCTAAGAAGCTCTTCCCTGGAGTGGCTTGGACACAGAGAAGCCCCCTTTTGTTCATGACAGAGATGTCCGTCAACTTTGGGGTGTCTTACAGGTCTGTTTTATATGATGATTCTGCATTTGCTTTAGATGTCAATTTAGTCCTCTGGTGGTATCAGTCATGGTGAATCTGAATATCAGGACTGATTGATGTAACTGTTCCTTTTCTAAGGCAAGAAAAAAATTTTGCTCAGCTGACTTGTAAGAATTATCTCTGTAGGAAAAAAGGCACCAAAATTACCTCCAATGTTATGTTACCTTTCTGTAAAGATGTGTTTAAAAAAATCTCAAGAGATGAAAATTAATTCTTTTCTCTGCAGAATGCAGTGTGAATTTTCTATTGAGATCAATGGGGTCATTTCTTCCCTCTTGTAGGCTAGTAGTATCTTTTCTGCAGTCTTCAAAATCAGACAGTAAAACCCTTGTCTCCTTATAAGATCTTTTAAAGAGCATACTCAACAGAGTTCTATGACTGTTGTGCTCTGAGGTATAAGATTCCCATTGCTAGTTCCTGTGAATCAGAATACCTAGCTGCATGCCTTCAGCATTCCTTCAAGATTGAATTCTCTTCCCTTTTCTCTTTCTTTGGGGGAAAATGGTGTGGAGATTTAACATCTGTCACTAGTTCTAAATCTAGTTGCTAAAATATTTCCTGGGGATAGCCACAAAAAAAATGTTACAGTAAAACTAGTAAGAAAGATGCTTCGTGTAGGAATAACCACCAATTTTATTTTCTCTTCTTTTCTTTCTTTCATAATAGCAGCAAAAGACCTCATAGCCAGGCTGTTGATAGTGGATCCCCAAAAGCGCTACACAGCACGGCAAGTACTTCAGCACCCTTGGATCAGAACAGCTGGAAAAACTAATGGCAGAAACTTGCAGAGGGAAGTAACAATAAATATTGAGCGTCATTTCCGGACCCAGCGCCGAAAGGAAGTTGTAGATGAGGACACATGAAGTCTCTTCAAGCTCATCTATTTGTCCCTTTTTATTGATTAACATATTATTTGTTTTCTTTTGTAAATGAATTGAGCCCTTAGTGTATAGATTTTGCTGGCCATCATTATAACTCTCCTTGATTCTGAGATTCTGAATAAGGATAGAGATCTAATTTGCATCCCCACCCTTGTGATGTCACTTGGGAGCGTCTCTGACAGCAGTGGGTACTAGATATTTCCTGGAGGGTATACATTATTTTTCTTTAAATGCTGATTAGAACTTTTACATTATATAATGTATATCTTTTTAGATGGCAAATGTTTGCTTCTGCAGCCAACATTAGTGGTGACTGAAATGTGTTTTCTTGTCTCATTTTGTATGATACCTTCAGGCATTTTGCATTTTGTTTTTTATTTTATAATGTTTTGTGTTTATAACATTGTCAAAATGGCTGTCTGCATACACATCCTGCACTAATTCTTAAACTAGCTTTTCACAAGTTCCTGCAAGCAGTGGAGAAGGTGAGGGAATTATTTTTGTGTGTATGTGTGTGTATATATATACACACACATAAAATATATATATTATTTAGCTGTAGTATATGTTAAATAAAATGTAAGATACTGTTTATTAAGTTGTAAGTAAAGAAAAATTGTTGTAGGTGAAAGGAGATATTTTATGGGAGATATTATATTTCCCTTGGCAATATATTTTCTTTGGATGTTCTCAGGGACGGGGCAGTAGGAATGTACAATGTTTCTGTTAAACTATCATGGTTCTGTATAGTATGGTAGTTTCATTTCTTTATAAGAAGAGGTGGGAAGATACCATGACTGATACGGTTTCAAGGCTAGAATAATAACTTTTAAAACATTTTTGTTCCTACTCTGGGAAGTAGGAAGTTAGCAGTTTTAAGGAAACTATTCCTAAAGGTATACTTACAGAATGATAACCCAAGCTTTTTTTTCATACTGAATTTTTTATTAAGAGCCATCCACATCCATGTGTGACTCCCTCATGCTGATGGAGAAGAGAGAGCTGGAAAGCTCCTTCTGTGACTTAAGTTAGCCCTTACTCTTGTGGTTCCCCTCTCATCAACATCCTTCAGAGCTGAATTGCTTTTGTACACTTGTCAGTGTAGGGCTTTTGTTTGTTTGTTTGTTTTTTATGTTGCCTTCCCTTGGGTCTCTTTTTCCTCAATTCTGTAAGAATAGGCAATGTAATGAAATTACATTAAAGTTCAACTCAGGAAGAGCAACTTCTTGTTAGTCTGTGGGAAGGTCTCCCAGGGGACATGTCATATACTTCGTTGCTTATGTTATTTTTAATTGGATTGGATGGAATTTTAAAGAAATCATTAGGGGGGAAAAATGCAGCCCTGAGAAGGGCCGTGACCTTAAAGAGCTTTTGAATCTCAGAAATTTTCTTTAACTAATCAAATCCAAGAAGCACTCTAGTTGTCTGTTTTATAATGTTTTGTCCATGAATTACATGTGCTAGCAAATAATATTCACAATAAAATTATCAGTAGTATTAACATAAAGTTCATAGCTTGTAGAATTGAATGAAGGTATCTTGTAATGAGATATCAGAAGCATTTCAGAATCAGTAGAACATGTTCATAACTATAAGAAACAGGATATTATTTTTGCTGAGTGCTAAAATTGTGTGTGAATTTTCTGAATTACCAAAAAGTGTGTGGTACTGTCATCATGTTTCTGTTTCAAGCTGTGACAATTTTTTCCTCAAAAATGATGTATGAAAGTAGAAACAACTTGGCTCTTACAAGAGAATTGTGTTTTCAGTTAGTTGGCTTGTTTTAATACGTATTGAATTAAGACTTGCTGTGGAATCCAACAATTTGTAAAACAAATGAGTCAAACCTTTACTGTATGCCCAAGTAGTATTTATGATATGTCATACCTTTGCTTTAGAGACTCTGCGTTAGGAAGACTTTTCCTGTTGAAGAATGGATTTAAGTGCTTTCCTATGTGTATCCTCATATTCTAAATCTGTTACGTGGTCTTTGAATACTAATAATAACTTCTCTGCTAATTTAAGTCTGTCTTGGATGTGGAAAAATAGCTTCTGACTTGCAATATTATATTTTGTAATTATTTTTAATATAGTAGTTCAGGAATAAAGTTTGAAATGACAAAAAAGTATCAGCAATGAATCCGATGGTATGGAGTTTACTATGGATTGCCTTGTTGCCTTTAAGAACACGTCTACAGCCTTAACCCTGGTACAGAAGATAAAGAATATATTTGCAATAAATATAAAAGTAATTATTTTATCAAAGATCTTGTTTTTCTCTCAAGTTCTCTAGGTTTTAGACTTCTTGAACACAGACTGTGCTGCGTGCTGCTATCACATAGTGTCTGTAAGCACCAATGCTCATGTGGCAGTACTGTAGGACTGGATTGGTGATGCTAACAGACCAGTGGCATTAGGCCCTCCTTCAGGTTGGAGGCTCAAAAAGCTGCCAGGTGCTTCTCAGGGCTTTTGCCACCTCCTGTATCTATCGTATTTAGATGATCCTTCCTTTCTTCCATTGCTTTCAATGTTCTTGCTCTGCCTCTGTTCTGCTGTAAACTAGTTTCCTAGTCATTCCAGATTACATTACCTGAAGTCTTGGGAATGTGTGTGATTTTGATGAGTTCAGCCGCAAGCATTGCTTGCTGATGTTGACAGTTGGTAAGATTAGAGAGGACTCAGACAAATGAAAAAAAAACTTGGTCTCAAAGATCTCTAGTGTCCCCCATATCTCCTGTTGTCTCTTCTCTTCCTACAGCATGACATTCCAATATAGACCTCATCTTTACTGTCTGTAAGACACACTTTCTTCTGCATGAACCTAATTCATGTTACAGAGGTGAGTTTTTATTTGCAGTTTTTCCTTTCCACAGAAAATGAGGTAAGAGCTGTAAGATAGCAGTAACAGGTCAAACTGCAAGACTTTACAGACTTCTAAGGTGTCAAGATCCAAACGTACATTTAAAGAAGCAGATCACCCATATTTCATTTCCTGGTGACACACATCTGTCAGTTTTCTTTTTACTGAGCCAACACTTAAAATCAGTCAAAGCTTTCAATTACAATAGTCACAGTGCAGAATAGCTGGGCTCTATGTGAGGGTGTATGTGCTACCAGAGATTATCAAAAGGATTGAAACATTTTGAACATCCTTGAAAGCCAGTGTAAATACAATTGTGTCATAATCTTTTCATGACTCTATTAGGAGTTTCTCAACATTAAGTCCAGGCTTTCAGTGCCCAGATTTGGGGCATTAGTCAATCTGCTTGAGAATGTAGTAAGTTTGCTGTGCTTATAAACTGATCTTCCCAAAGAAGAGTATAAGTCTCTCTCTCTCTCTCTTTTTTTTTTTTTTTTTTTTTTTGTTTTCCCTCCTGTCTCCTAGATTTATCTTAATTTCAGAAATGTATGGACAATGTTTTTCATTTTCTGGCTGTGCATTCTTCTATTCTGTGCAAGTCTACCAGTACAATGAATTACTATTGATGTTTTTGCTCGTGAAAGTAACATGGGCACGTTAGCTGGACTGGCAGGATAAGTTAATACTTATTGGTATTACAGTATATCTTGTATGCAACTATGCCAAAAGTGTTGTTTTTTCTAAATTAAAATATAACTTTTCCATTGAAGTCTGTAAGATATTTTTTCCCCTGAGAAAAACAAGCTATACAGTGGATGTTATGTTTCAATATTTCCAATAAATTAGGAAACAATTGCCTGGGCAAGTATTTTGAACCTTTTTTTATTGTTATTATGCCCCCACCCTACGCCCCCTTACTTTATAATTTATTTATTCGGGTGATGTTTCTTGTAAAAGTTGGCATGTTCATTAAGTATTGCGTGTGCTTTCATTTACACATAGAAGAACCCCTTATATTGCAGTCTTCTGAGCAGTTACAAATGTAAACAAACAATCCCATTAAAATCAACACAAGTCTTTGCAAAACTGGAGCTGAGAGAGGTTCCAACACTATTTTGTCCCTGTATGTCATGAATGGTTTCCAGTAGGATATTAGAGCAATTGTGATAAGCATAGCTAGTTTCATTGAAGCATAATGCACACAGTACTAAATTTTGTAATAAATCCTTATTCTGTAAAATACAAAATTATTTAAAAACATGTTTTGTTTGTAGAAATGGGCATTGTAGTTGAAATTGAGTTGATTGCAGAAATGGCTTTTTCAAAGCGTTTTAGTAGCTTGTGTATAACTCATTTCTGTTGCTAAAAAATGTTTTTCTGCAGGCCTGTAGTCGTGGTGGAAACAGTAGAAATAAAAATGCATCCAATATATTGACGGTGTTTTAGAACAAACTACCTTCTCTCTGAATGTGAGCATGTGAGATGAAGTGGCTGCTACTGTGAGAATCAGTACACACTCTCATTTATTGTGTATTGGTACTTAGAGACCACAGCCACCTCTCTACTCTGAGAATTTAAAATACACTGCAATTTAAGGGGTGTACATAGGGGTCTGATTAAAAGTTATTTAATTCTTCCTTGTTAGGAGTGTGTTTCCCATGCTATTCGTAGTTGAAGTCCACCAATGTTTATTTGTTTTTTTAATTATTTTTTTGAATAGGCCATTAATGTCACTGCTACATGCAATTTGTTCAGAAAAGATGACCCCTTGTATCATCCAGTCTGGTGATTCACTCTGTTCTTTAGCAGTATAAACAGCTGTTGTATTCCTGCAGAATTTTATCTTTTGAAATTACAGCTGTTTTTGATAACGTAGAAATTAGAAAAACAGGAAAAACGTGAAGCTAACAATCCTAAATCGTCACTGGAAATATTTTTGTTTTTGAATGCAAAAACTGAAATGAAGAGCTGAAACTACCTAAAAATGTGAATAAATTTAAAAAGTGTTCTTGTAGTAAGTGTTTCTGCAACCCAAGCAACGTGAATACTTTGCCTGGTGAAAACACTGAGCCATGCAGTACCTTAATAAGGATAAGTATTTAGGTGCAACAACAGTCAACTTCCAGAAATGCTTTAAGAATGCTGTATTGAATGAGGGGTGTAGGACTGAATAAGTTCTTCTAATCAGTGGAAAAAATGGTGTACACTGTAAGCAAAAGTTTCTTTCTGTGTTGTTATTGCTGTGTTAGTTGGTAATGGTTTCTAGATTTCAGTGACTGACATTATATTGTAAGATGGCATTTCTAATGGAAAAAAAAAAGCGTACAACATTATCTAACGTGTTTAATGACAAGGATTTCAGAGGTGGTGTTTTTTCTGGAAAAAACAGAAGTGTATGATGGTTAACTGATATAGTTGTTAAGCAAACCCTATCGCTGCCTTTTCAAAAAATGCAATTCTGTCATCCTGACATTGTAATGCTTCAACATATAAGTTTATTATTTAACAGGCTCAGAAGAAACCTCTGTGCATAGTGTAAGGATGGATTTAGATGTCTCAGTTAAATTTTTACACATTTCAGCTTGTCGGAAGCATACTGGCAAATGTAATGTTTGTGTGGTGACTGAAATATATATTATGGACCTGTCTCTCAAATGGAAGTACAATGTTGCACCCTTACAAATGCAAGAAAGTCAGGCTGTTTTGGAAAAAGGCCAGCATATGTCCCACTGGGTTTCTTTTGTTTTAGCTTTTCCTCTTAACGTTTTCCAGTCCTCTGTTTTCTTTAAATAAATGCTGTAGAGAAGTTGTAAACAAGCTTTTATCAGTGAAATAAGAAAAAAAAAAAATCCTTACCCTTGCTGGTGTGTAATGTTCCTATAAAAGTTCCCCAGTCATTTTGGTGTGCCTGGGGATAACTGATTCTAAGCAGATGCTATAGCAACTGCTAATGTTCTCCCACCTGGATCATAATTCCCTAACAATAGAACAGGAAGAGTCCCTTAAAAGAAATAAAAACAAACTGCTCCACCATGTAAATATGTGAATAATAAATTATTCAACCACACAATAGTTTTATGGAAGTTTATACTTAAATGTTCTCATAACTCGCACAGTTAGTGTGCAAGGGACAAATAGTTAGAGCTTGGTGCTAGAATGTAATAGTAATAAACTTATGACAGATGAATCCTCACATAAATTTGTCAAATGTCTGGGAAGGTTGTAGAACAAAAATATTTCAAAACCTTGTTTTTCAGTTCACATGGAGAAGGGATGCAGGAAATACGAGGAAAACTTGAACAAAAATACTCGGGTAAAGCTCTTAATGGCCAGGAAAATGAATCATTTTTCTGATTGGTGAACAGATTGCTGAATGTGGCAGTCACTGCAAGTGATCCTGCATTTCTTTTGTATTGAAATACTCATTTTAAGCTCTGAGGGTGGGATCTTAAAACTTACTAGCAAGAGGTTCTGATGATCACTTTCTGTGATATTAATGTTAAGATGTCGGCAAATGATAAGGTTTCTGCTTCTGCAGTAATTAGTTTTGATATTCCCACCCTTCATTTAAAGTATCTCCTGCTGCTTGATAATGTAGTTTTTCAGGAAAACAGAGACAGATTTCTATGTCATTAAACTTTGTTCCTTTGTACTTCCCATCACCAGATTCCATCACAACCATCTTACAAATATGTACTTTGAAATTTTAAGATATTTTAGTGTTTCTGAGGACAGTTCTGGGAGTTTCAATGGGTTGCAGTTGGTGTACACCAAGGGAGAGTTTTGCCCCTTGGTTGTGTGTAACTATTCCTTGTAGGGTGATACGTATTCCTATGAGGCATCTTGGGTCAGCAGCTTCTGTGGCAAATGCATGTTTGTGGTAATTATATAGATGTAGTATTCTGTGATTGCCCCTTTTTGTGGTGTTCGTACTGCTGCTGGAGTCATGTTATTTGCCAGTGTTACTACTACCTTTCCATACAGAGGAAAACAAAACAAAACCAACAAACCAACAAACAACAACAACAACAAAACACAACAACAGAACACCCTAAACACTTTTCAAAATGAGCTAATAAAAAGTGCCATTAGGTCATTGTTTTAATGAATTTGCGATGGGACTGGTATAATTTGTACTTACAACTAATCAGCCTATATCAGGAGGATAGTTTGGATGAACTCTTGGACGGATCCTGTACAGATCCTGTGTGAGAGATTCTGGAAAGATGACAAAGAATTCAGGCACTTTATTCTTTCAAGGTAAATCCTCAGGGACATGGATTTGCTGCCTTTCAGTTTGTTTTCAATGTCAAATGAGCTGGTAGAGGATGTGCAAGGATGAGAACTGTTTGCAAGTGGAAGGCTTCTTATTGGCAGGCCAGAGTAGTTTTGATTCAAGGGAATTTATTTAATGCGAGTCCAAACTAGACTTAGTGAGTCCAATACTAAAAGCTTTTCAGTTCACATATTCAAATATGCAAATGGATATGCATAGGACAGGTATATATGGGCTGAAAAAAACATTCTTTACTTTCATTGTTTTATTAGCTGTTTTGCTTAGTAACATTACTAGTTTTCGGGTCTGTTCTTTTTTAGTGAGGAACACAACATGCAAAACTGGATTTATATTTAACCCCAAGGTGACTCATATCTGCTGCTTTGTGTGGAAAGATCCGTTGTATTGCTGAGGTGTGTGGATGCATTTTGTTAACACGAAGCTTTCCTACCTCTGTGCTAACTAGTAACAGTAATGGTAATACTTCTGGGGATCCTAGGAAGCCTTAATGAACTTTAGCTCCTGTTTATTAATTAGGTATTAGTATCTTGATGCCTCAATACATGGCTTTGCAATGGGCAGGCTGTTAAAGCAGAGCAACCTTAATTCTTTCCTGGAGCAGTGCCAGCCTTGGCAGGAGGACAGTCTTGGCTGTCAGGAGCAGTGCTGTCAGCAAGGGTAGTGGTAACAAAGCACAAAACCATGAACCTCCTGACTCCTCAGTAGTCAGAAATTAGAAGGAAAATACCTATGAGGCAGGTGGGAGTGTGATTTGCTTGAGGTGAATCTCTTGCTTTCTCTGGAGCAAGGGGTGCAGGACAGCTGGGATTCAAGATTCAAACCTCTGGTTTCTCTCTCATTCATCGATGGCACCTCATGTGTTTGCAGCACATACAGCTTTGTGCCTTCTGATCCGGCTTAGTAGCTCCAAGGACTGGGTAGTCTCTTGTCTTGGTTTCAGTTAGAACAGAGTTAATTTTCTTCCTAGTAGCTGGTACAATGCTATGTTTTGGCTTAGGATGAGAAGAGTGCTGATAACACCCAGATGTTTTAATTGTTGCAGAGCAGTGCTTATACTAAGCCAAGGACATCTCAGCTTCTTGCTCTGTCCTGCCAGTGGGCAGGCTGGGGGTGCAGCAGGAGCTGGGAGCGGACAGACCCAGGACAGGTGACCCAAACTAGCCAAAGGGGTGTTCCATACCATCTGAAGTCATGCTAAACAATATATAGGGGTGGCTAGCCAGGGGAGGGGGACTGGACTGCTCGGGGTTAGGCTGGGCATCGGTCAGCGGGTGGTGAGCAATTGCATTGTGCATCACTTGTTTGTACACATTATTATTAGTAGTACTATTATCATCATTGTATTATTATTGTTATTGTTATTATTATTATTATTTTCCTGTCTTATTAAACTGTCTTTATCTCAACTCACGGGCTTCACTTTCCATTTCTCTCCCCCGTCCCAGAGAGGGAGGGGGGAGGGTGAGCGAACGGCTGCGTGGTGTTTAGCTGCCGACCGGGTTAAACCACGACATCTCTTTGTGAGCTGACATCAAGGTGCTTGGCATTGCCAGCTGTAAAACCTG